ACAGGGGTAATGATAACGTTTTGAAATGTTTTAACCTATAAGGCACTAAAACCATGAAAGACAATAAATTAAAGTGCATCAATTTCCAACTCTGAAATTAATTCAAAGGATTAATAAGGAGACAGAAAATGCATTAAAATGTGGTCACTGTTTACCAAACTTTATTTTTATTTTTTTACCATCAATAACAAAAAGGTTCAACAATGAAGCTGCTCTCTGTATCCCAAGCAGCTCCCCATGGATCCAGTCCTCCTGCTGTTCTATTTATCATCCAGCTCCGAAAACTATTATACTGAGACATGCAGCTTGATTTTAAAAATCTCAAAAGAGCACTCTGTAATTTGAAACATTATAAATGCAGAAAAAACCAAATTAAAATCTATTAAGAAAGACTAGTCTTCTAAAATATGACACCGTCTATTCACAAAACCATTCCCATACAAACAGTCTTTGTTTACTCCATTGATTCCTTGTATGATTTAAATGTCTGCAGAGAGACAGTGAAGGCAGTAATGGACTCAGACGAGGCTGGCCGGATGCTGGGGGTCATTGAGCTGGCCTGCGTGGTGTGGACTGCTCTTCTACAATGGGATGAGATTATCCATGTCTCCAGTGTAATAGTCTCTGGCCAGATTACAAGACCATCTGCTGCAGTGGTGCCAAAACCACAGAGAGTGAAGGTAATTAAAGAACCAATGTGAGACAAGAGTGTTGGAGTTCCTCTCAGCTAAAAATGATTATGACAGATGTGTATTGTAGTGGCATTGATGTATTTAGGATGAAGGTGGCTCCACTATTCCAGTGTGTGACTGGCTTGCAGAGGATCAGTGGGGGGCCAATTCTTTTTGCTCAGGAAATGAGACACGTTTGCCGATTTTACTAAAGCTGCTTTAATCTCACTGAATGTTATTATTTCTTATTTCCTACATCAACCCGTCATTTACTACTGAATATTTTTTTCCTCGTATGTAATCTGAAACATAGATTTATCCTGGTTATTCAGAGGGTTTGTTTTTAACATAGGGACATTTTTGTCAGACAACCAATTTGCTTTTTCTCTCTGTCACACATTCAAATCTCGACACATATTTGCAGATATATTTGCTAGATACACTTCTGATTATATTATAAACACTTGAATCCTAAGATTCAAAATATGATACATTTCCATAGATACACCATATATCATATTTCATCATATGAATGAATGAAACATAACCAGTAGTAAATACATGAAATTTAACAAAGTTGTGAAATGTTGTCGAAGAGGGAGGAGCAAAGTTCTGCTGCAAAAATATATTTTCTTAGAATTTTCTTAGACCTTTATCACATGTCTGCCTCTCTACTAAGGATCACTGTGTCTGTTGTATTTGACATTTTCTGCTATGATCTCTGTCCACACAATCGTTTTGGCTACATATCAGTTTTAAGAAAATGCATATCATGTAGCCATGTACAATGGGCATGTGTGTAATAAGATTGCTTGAATAATAGCTTGTCTCTAACATAACATGATTGATAAATGTGGAATTTTACTGCAGCTGTTAGCGAAGATAACAGGGTCACTAACACTTGCAAATGATTATTCATGTTGCATTTCACACTGGTAGCTGAGGCTAAAGCTGGTAGTTTTATTCTGGAAGAGGGTCGTGTGATTTTGTCTTAACATGCACAAAATGTCCAGCATTGCTGTCTCAAGAGGAAATGCAGGGACTGAAATCTGACATTTGCCAGTCGTTCTGATATTTTACTCAAATGAGTTTCCCTCCCCCCAACAGGTATCTCTTACATAAAAAAAAAAGATAAGTCTGGCAAATATTCATTGTAAAAAAGGCTTACGACTTCATCAAAAGCAATGCTCGACCTATTTGCCCTGTGTTTACATTTTTATTACATGGAAGCTAATGTCCAGAATAATCTCTTTTTGTTTGGGGGAATTACTCTGGCTGTACTGCTGTCATATCTAAAGACGAATTTATATATTAATATTTTTACCTTTGCAGTTTCATAGGAGCAAATTGAACTCAGATAAAGGACGAGAAAAAATAAAATATATTTTATGTCTTAATTATGGGTGCCTTGCCAGCTGGGGGCTCTGCCCCCAGCTGGCAATGCATTGCATGGGGCGAAGCCCCATGCAATGCATTGGCACTTATATTATTATTCCTCGAGACTTTCTGCGTTTATTTTTCTTATTTCTTCTTCCTAAAACTTTGTCCCGCTACTCCTCCCACAGATTTCGTCGCACATACTTGAGACCTATAAAATACGATGCGGAATTACGTCGAATCGTGTGCTATGACTTTTCTAAGAATTTCGTCCAATAATTCGCTCAAAAATCGCGAAAACGTGGCCGAAATCGATGAATGGGACTCAAGCTCGCTTTATCAAAAGAGCGAGTTTCCAAAAACAGGCGTTTTTCAGCCACTTTTTTTGTCTTTAAACACTTCTCCTAGCCACAAACGGAGTCCGACAGACATGATTTT